GAGAAGACCCTGGCGGGACAGAGCGTGGAGACAGAGAAGGTCCTGGACATCATCTACCAGCCGCAGGCGGTGTTCAGGGTGCGGGCGGTGACCCGCTGCACCAGCTCCCTGGAGGGGCACACCGAGGCTGTCATCTCCGTGGCCTTCAGCCCCACCGGAAAGTACGAGGGTCTGGCAGCGGGTGGGAGGCTTTGTCCCCCCCCAGGGCACCGCGCTGAGCCAGGCTCTTTTTCCTCTCCCAGGTACCTGGCGAGCGGCTCTGGAGACACCACCGTCCGCTTCTGGGACCTCAGCACGGAGACGCCGCAGTTCACGGCCAAAGGTGGGTGCGGGGGTATCCCAGGAGGGCACCTCCCTACCCCCCTCCCTCAGGGATCCCCTGCCTGCTCAGGGGGACAGAGCAGAGCCTGGGTGCTGCCTGAGCCATGTAGCCATGGCTCGGGGAGGGAGTAGCTGTCTTTCACTAGCGAAGCAGAGGAAGAGGATCTGGCCAGGAAGAACATGGAGGGTTCTCCCCAAACCTCTAGTCCCGCTTGGGTGCGGCTGCACGCTGGGACGTGGGGACAGACAGACACAGCCATCCGCTCACGCCCACTCGTGTTCTCTCTGCCAGGTCACCGGCACTGGGTGCTCAGCATCGCCTGGTCGCCTGACGGCAAGAAGCTGGCCTCGGGCTGCAAGAACAGCCAGGTACGCGTTGGCTCCCCGCTCTGTTGGTGCGGGGCCAGGTGCCCTGATAGCCACACCGATGGGGTCTGCAGCCACCTGCAGCCCCGTTTTGGACTGAAATGAAACCTAGTAAAGGGGCTTGGGGGGATTAGGGGCAAAGAGTTGTTTTCTCTGGCATCCGGGGCATCAGGGGGGTATCCAGTTGTTCTGGGCAGGATTCCTGTTCCTCAGAGAAGCTTTGCGTGTGGATGCGTCGCAGTGGTTGCGAGTAGTGTCTCTGAACTCTGCCGGGCAGTGCTCTGGCTTTGTCCCCTTTGCAGAAGTCTCACCGCTGAGCCCTGCTGTCTTGTAGCAGACGCTTTTCCCTCTGCGCAGGAAAGAGTCCAGGCCTTGGACGTGGTCCTTGGCAGACGGCTCCATCACGAGGGAGGTGTCTGGAGCAAGAAAAGGGTATCGCCCGGCCAAGCCAGGGTTGCTGTTTGCATGACCCAGACGCGCAGCGGCAGCCTGTTTCGCAGTGCTCCCGCTCAGACGCAGCCAAATTCCCTCTTACAGGAATGCGAAAGGGGCCCTGCCCCGGCTGCGGGGCAAAACGTATGCGCTTAGGGTGCACGCAGAAATGCCTGGGGAAGTGGGAGCACTTGTGGGCAATTAAAAGTGAGTCAGTAATTTGCCTAGCTGCAGAGGGGCAGTTGCTTGCACTGCCCTTCGTACAGTCTGGGAGCAACGAGAGCGGCCACGGAGCTGCCGAGCACTGCTGCCCTGCGCTCGGTTTCTGAGCGGCTGCTCGGTTGGGCTGCTTTGGTACCAGCCCCAAGGAAACAGGCCAGGGTGGCTCTGCCTTGGTTTGGTGCATTCTGGCTGTAATCTAACCCAGGGAGCTGCTTGTCCTCCGTTTCCCTTTTTCTCCCAGGTTTTTAAGTAGGAGATGACTAATGCCTTGGCTCTTTGGATGAACATTTATATAGAGAGAAAAAAAACAAGAGAAAACCAGCATGTGTCCCACCCACAGAATCCGATAATAAGTAGCATTTAGCACGCTCTGGCTTTCATCACGCTCTGCAAACATTCACTAACTCTGGCACAAGGTGTCAAAGGCTCAGGCTGGCTTTTTTGGGACTGGGATAGGTCTTGAATTGAGGCAGATATTTTGTAGCAGCAGCGTTTTAGGCCGAGAGGAGGGTGATCAGGTCTCATGCTTTGAGATGTCAGCTGATTGCTGCAGGGATCTGGAAAGGCATCCAAGCCCTCCCGCCCCCCTCCCTTTCTCCTCCCTGCTTCTGCCAATGTAAATGCGACCCCAAGGACACCTAAATGAAGCCCAAACATCCCTGGGATTCACATGATGCGTGTGGCCTGACGCGACCCTCTTGCTTCCTCTCTTGGACAGATATTTCTCTGGGATCCAGCCACTGGCAATCAGATCGGCCGGGTGCTCTCTGGCCACTCCAAATGGATCACGTGTCTGTGCTGGGAACCGCTCCACATGTAAGTGAAGGGCCAGCCTGGCCCTTCCCCTTTACTTGTATGGAGAAGAGCAGCCTGACCCCAAGGGCGCTGCTCCTGTTTGCCTTTCTCCGGTACTGTGCGGGATGCGTGCGGGGGAGCAGCCCCCAAGGTGGGCCAGGAAAAACGCATCTAGCGTGGAGGCAGAAGTCCTAGCCGTTGCTCACAGCCCCCCAAGGGTGCTGGGGAAGTCACCGCGAGGCTGTGCCTCTTTCCCCCTCTATGAGAGATACAGCCTGCGGAAAACACTTAATGTTTTCATGGTGCTGGACAAATATTTGACATGCTCCTCCCCAGCATGCTGAGCTGGGAGCGGGAAAGCCTGCCTGCATGGTGCCCGAGCTCAGGCTCTGCAGAGCATTCCCTTTCTGCTCTCCTGCATCCCGGTTGCCTCTGTCATCTGGTTTATTTATCATGAGGACTGATTAACTGTGCAATCCCCTTATCCCTTTGATCAGCTAAAGCTCTGTCTGGGAAAGATGGGTGGAGAGGGACAGTTGTGGCCAATAATCTGAGACATGACAGAAATAAATAAATAAAAAGAAAGAAAGAAACAGGGCCCTTTCAGAGCAGAGCCCTGCAAATTGAATTTGCCAGTAGGAAACTCCAGCTATTTGCAAACAATTAACTGGATTAGCAAAAACTGATTATAAAGGAGGATGAGGAAGTGGGGAGGAGGGGGATGACCCTGCCAGGGCTCTACATCTCTGTCTCCAGCCAGCTGCGCTCCGCGCTCGGATCCTGCGCAAAAGGAGGGGCCATGCTTTTCCTCACTGACATCACACTGCTTGTGCCACGGGCTGCTTTTTTTGATACTAAAATAGTGTTGAGTGGTAAAGACAATGTGCAAAGGACAGAGGGCTGTGGCTCCCCTGTCCTTGCTGGGTTCTGGCCAGCTGTTTCCAGACGTGTTAAATTTGCCCCCGTGAGCCACGTGGCTGGACGTTGCTGCTTTCAGCCCTGCCAGCGCAGTGGCTCTCTGTCTGCAGGCCGGCACGCTTCCTGCTGGAGGCGAAGCATGGCATAGGCAGAGCGTTCAACGTGTTCCCATGGCTGCCCGTCTGTGCCGCGATGCGTAAGGCAGACCGATCCCCCTGCCCAGGGCTCTCCCCAGCCAGTGCCCGAGGAAGCTGCCAGTTTGTGGTCCCCTCGTTAGCCAGTGGGTTAAAGCTGCTTCCTGTGAAAACAAGGTCATTGCCAAGCGCTCAGGTACCACGTTTACCCTGGATTGATGCCTCCAGCGTGCAGCCCAGGAGTCGGTTTGGAGGGAAGCATGTGTCTGCCTCTCCCCTGCCTTGTGGGATCTTGTTCTCTGTAGGTCAGTGCTCTGCCTCTTCTCTGATCTTAAGCCAAAAGAGAAAGTTGTCTTCTATTGACTTCTGGGCCCTTGAATCTTCTGGAGCTGATGGGGGAAGAGCTTGGCGGAGGAGCTGCGTGCACTGCGCAAACGGATTTGATCTTCTTTTTGCCCAGAAACCCGGAGTGCCGCTACCTGGCAAGTGCCTCCAAGGATGGCAGCATCCGCATCTGGGACACACTGATGGGCAAGTGTGACAAAATCCTCACGAGCCACACGCAGTCGGTAACGTGTGTGAAGTGGGGGGGCGATGGCTTGCTCTACTCCTCCTCCCAGGACAGGACCATCAAAGTCTGGAGGAGCCAGGATGTAAGTGAGGCAGGAACTGGTGAAGGGGGCTAGACACGCTGTGTTGTAGCTTTGTCTGCTCTTCCTGGCACAGATTTTGCCCTGGAAAATGGAGGTGCTGGGTGGGTGCTGTATCCTCTTGACCTGTCAGAGCCTGTTGCTTAGCACTGTTTGGAAGGGGTAGATGTGCAATGTTTTCATCCCTAAAACATAAAATGGGCTAAAAGCTGAAAACATCCCTGGAGCGACCTGTCCTGGTGGGCTCCTTGCAAAGTCCTGTGGGAGACTGGTCCCTGAAGCTCAACAGTGTCATTTCTTCCCTGCCAAGCCTGGCTGGGGTCCTGCCTGCCGCTCGGGCAAGAAGGTTTGGAAAGTTTAGGGTTGCTCCCTGCAGCGTGATGGGTCTGGTGGGTCCTGCCCAGTCTGGCTCTGTCCTGCCCATCCCTCTCTAAGCGGGCGGTTTTGTTTCCAGGGGGTCCTCTGCCGCACCTTACAGGGCCACGCTCACTGGGTGAACACCATGGCTCTTAGCACCGACTACGTTCTCCGCACTGGTGCCTTCGAACCTGCTGAAGCCACCATCAACCCACAGGATGTGAGCGGCTCCTGTAAGTGCAGCACTCATGTTGTAGGCTGGGGGAGGTGGTGGGGAGGATAGTGAGGAGACCTGATGTCTCCTCTTAATGCTACCATGAGCCAAAGCCATCTTGAGAGCTGGGAGCAGGTCCTGTACCAGTGTCGGTCATGCCCGCAGCCATGATCTTCCTTGCCCATGCGCAGGGTTGAGCAGTCTGGAGGATGGGCAGGCCACTCTGTTTTCAAGAGCTTTTGCTCCCAATATCGCCCTTGGCAAAGAGGAAGTGGGTGAGCAGTCACAAATGTGTCTGCTTGGCCCACGAAGCCAGGATTGGAATTGGCATCACAGAGCTAGAATGTTTCCTTTCACCTAAGGACTTCAAATCTCTCTTCCTTCCCCTCTGCCTTTCCCTCTTTCAGTGGCAGAGCTGAAGGACAAGGCACAGCAGAGGTATGACCAAGTCAGGGTAAGTCCCTTTTGTCCCTACTGTTGTTTTTAACCCTATTAGTGGTGGAAGCAGAAAACATGCACAGTTGGCTAGTAACCCCAATGCTGGTGTGTTTCTGAGGTGTCCACACCGGGCTTGTACAAGACTTGGACTCTTTCATCCCTTCCTCAGGGCCAGGAACCAGAAAGGCTCGTCTCGGGATCAGATGATTTCACACTGTTTCTTTGGAGACCAGCAGAAGACAAGAAGCCACTGGAGAGAATGACAGGCCACCAGGCATTGATTAACCAAGTCCTGTTCTCGCCAGACACCCGGATAATAGCTAGTGCTTCCTTTGACAAGTCCATAAAGCTCTGGGATGGTAGGACAGGAAAGTGAGTTGGTTTGTTCTGTTACAGAGGTGGTGCTCGTACGGGGTCTGCGTGTAACAGAGGTTATGCAGAGATGGGCCCCAACGTTGATGCCAGCAACTCTGGTGTGTTCAGTGTCTCTGTAGCCTGAACTCATGCAAAGTAATTCTGTCTCTTTCTCTGCCCTTGGGAAGTCCCTTGTCCGCTCCTCTTGTGTTGTAGGGTCTGTGCTTGGCTGGGTGGTGTGGCCGAGCCCTAGCGCTGCCTGGCACCCGTGCAGCACACGCTGCCTGCTGCAGGGTTGGTTCTCTGGGGCAGGCATGCCTGCAGTGGGATGGGATATTCCACTCGGCTGCCCTCCTGAAGATGTGTGTTGCACGCTGTAGACTGACCCAGTTTAAACAGTTCCTGTGCCAGAGAACAGCTTGTTCTGGACAATGCAAATTCTCTTAGTTACAAATGGTGCTGGTGGTGTTTGGATGCTCCTGTAGTCCAGCTGTTAACCTTCTGCTAGAGTTTTGGTGAGCTTGCTGAGGCAGCAGTCCTTCCCTTGTTTTGCCTTTGTACTGATGAGCTTAGGTTTCATGTTAGTAATTTTAACGATCCTTCTAAATCCAGGCTGCTCAGCCAGAGAGAAGGAGGACACATCTGTATGGTGAGGCTGTAGTGTTGCCTGTTGGATATGGGTTTCTTGGCAGAGGAGTTGAGATGAAGAGCTGTCCTCTAGAAGGCTCTGAGCCCATCTGGGAGGATTTTTAGACAGACTGAACCACCTGTGGACTCTGTACAGCAATTGACTGCCGTGTGTGCTGGCCTGGGGTTTGCTGGGCATCCTGTGACCATGCTTGCTTGCTCACAGCTGGAGAAAAAACACAAAGGCTGGACAAGGGCAGGTTTGGAACAAACCCAGCTGCCTGCTCCTCTAACAGCTTCTTAGTGCCTCCTCCGCGCCAGGTACCTGACGTCGCTGAGAGGGCACGTCTCGGCTGTGGATCAGATCGCCTGGTCCGC